TACGCGTTTCTGGGTGAACCGTAATAACTTGTAGTGACTTGCAGAATCGAAATGAACTTGCGAATTCTATTGTTTTTAAGAAGAAAAGCTTTCCAAATCAACGACCACCACAAGAAGAGAAATAAATTCCTCAGCGCCAGCCATGTTGTGGTCGATCGACCTGTGAACAGTGCGTCTAATCCCAGAACTGGAACAATATTCATGTCGTTCATCTGTACTAAACCGGGCTTCAAGTGCTGACGGCGTTAACTGTTTAACTTAACGTGAGTTCGAGCCAGTTTGTCATGTGATTCCACAGTCATGAAACTTTCTCGCCACATCGTACGGTAAATCTCATGACCGGACGAGGTCAGCGTGCGACAGAGATGTGTTAATATGAAACCGAGCGCGACCCACATCGATGGCCATCAAAATGGCGGTCTCGCCTACATTCGACCCGTTACTTTCATTTACGGCGTGTGTCAAAGTTTGTTGCTTCTTCCAGTGACACAGTGTCGTGCGGTGCCACCAGGCCGTATTGCGTGGTGACTCTTTAGAAATGTACGCGAAATGCATTCTTGTTGTTCTTTTGGTCCTTATCCACTTTCCTCATTCACATTTGAATCATTTTTTTCTCCTCTAAAGATTACAAAAAATTAAAAACAGCCTGCTGCCACGGAAAGCGCAAGCTGCAATAATTCCACGTTGTTTTTTCAACCCTCGCGAAGCTAACAAAACATGTACAAAATTATTATGATCATCGGTCGCTCTTACACGTTTACAATGATCACTCCTTCAGGGTCCACCATTAATTGAGGCTATAACGTGAGAGAGGTGCCGACTCATGTTTCGATGTAACCAGTCACGAATTCCTTGATTATGAAAGTAGGATTATTAGCTATTGGTCAGGCATACTGCTCATTAATTCCATTTAATTCCTATTACCCGAGGTACTCCATTGTCTAACTCAGAAAACGAAACTAGGCCCTACTAAGACTGTTTAGACAGGTATTAAAATGACCAAATGTATGAAGCAGTTTTCGCAAGACATTGTAGAAAATTTTACCCCCTGAAGACTGATCTCACATTATACGCATACTGTCAGGTTCAGTCAAAAATCACGTGAAACAAGACTAAATGGCCCCTACCTC